AGAATAAAATTAATGTTTTAAAATATAATATTTAAAAATTTATATAACCAAAACATACTGTGGGCAAATAGGCAAATAGTTATTCGGTAGTGAGTAATGTGGTCTTGAAATGGTGCGATAGAATTGCTAATTTAATCGAGCGGAGCTCGTGCGAACCACCCCAAAGACGTTCGACCTATCGTCCAATTTCTTTTTCTTTTTAAAAAATAAGGATAAAATTATAAGAGAATGTAAAAAAATCAACGTTCTAACATTATCATCTATGTTGTCATTCAAATTAAACATTCTATTATATCATCCATCGTGTCATTGAAATAAAGCTTTCTATTAATTTTTGTTGATATAAAGCATTCTTTTATAACAAATATTAGAGCAATTAACGTATAAATTATTTTGAATTTATATAATAACTAAAAAGATTTCTAATTTTAATAATAATAATACTAAGTTTTTCTTTTGGTGTTAATGATAGTCTTAAAACCTTACAAATTGAATTTACTGATAAATAAGTATCATTTTATAAATTAGGTATACGGTTCAACTTTTGGAGTTAAAATTTAAAAAAATTAATTTCATTAAATGTATTAATTGATGTGAAAAATATACTCTTAAAATCACTCAAAAAATTTAATTTTAAAATGTATAAAAACTAACTCAAAATACCCTCACAATACATAAATAATAATAATAATAATTTATGATCACCCTGGCACCCTTCAACATGATAAGGTTAGATTAATAATTAGAAAATGATTGGAAAGAAATAAAATTTTCCAGTAAAAATTCATGTTAGTTTATGATTCAAATTCAAAAAATAGTAATAACTTTATTTATATCATTTTTGTATTTTGAGTTGCACAATAACAAGTAATACTCTCTTATTGCTTAATTTTTACATCCCTTCTGTGTATCATATAACTCAAACTAAAAATCTCTAACATTTATTTTATAAAAAATATTAAATTATTTAAGTTGTTGGCACTTTATCTATATCATCTTTGGCACTAGAATAATGATACATATATCATGCACAGTTACACACTCTTGTTGCACACTTTTGAAAATCGTCAGTGTGTAATAGCAATCGTTAGTTTATAACAAAAACCGTCTGTTTGTAATAAAAACTGTCAGTTTTAACGGTATAAGTAATGGAAACCGTTAGTTTTAACGGCATAAGTAACAAAAATTGTCAATTTCAATGGCATAAATAGTAAAAATTGACAATGTGTAACAAAGTGTGTAACTTTATAGGGTGTACTAATCATATTCCTTGACACTAAAATAAAAAAAATATCATTGATCATTAGTTTGATGGTTAAGGTACATGGAAGGCAATATATCATTAAATTAGGTTCTAATTTCTAATATTGTCATGTCCATTTTATTGTTTAACTTTATGTTGATTAGTCCTAATTTATAATTTTATTTGATTTTATTATATTAAGACATTCAAAATGTTAATGAAAAATGATTGATATACTCTCTTGTTCAACATATCTAACAACACCCATTGGTTTAATTATTAAAATTTACTTTGAAAAATTTTCTCATCTTGAATTTAAATTTGAAAATATTGAAAAATGATGTGTGCACACCCGGAT